ATGGGTCAAGAGTAAAGTAGCTCTTACCCCTATCTCCCATAGTATAGTTTTCTTTTTCATGTATCTCATATATGTATATTTAAACAATTAAATAAAAGAGATAGAGGATAGACCTCTTTTTAAAAAAAAAAAAAAAATTAAAAAGATATTATAGCAAAGTTTGGGCTTTATAATTTATTGGTTAAACTTCTAAATTTCACCAAAGAAGTTAAAAGTACAAGTTAAACTAGAGACAAAAATATTGTTATAATTTATAAAAATTATAATCAAATATAAAACTCATAATAATGATCAAATATAAATATAAAACTAAATAAGAATTTTTAGAAAAAGATCCAGTTGTTAAGCATAGATACTATATATAATAGTAGGATTACAAAAGGTTTAGTTATATAAAAAGTTATACAGTATATATAAGTTCTTAAAAAATAGATAATACTAATATCTTTGCATCTAACTTGTAAAATATTTGTTTAGAATAATAATATAAAAATAACAAACTAAAAAGTAAGAAAAGTAGTAAACAATAACCTGTAACCAAAAATTAGAGTTATTAAAATTAAAAGCATTTCTAACATTTATCCCTTTTTATTTTACTTATACTCTTTTTTTTCTTTTTTTATTTCTTTACAAGAAGATATTATTAAATTGATGATTCTCACAAGATTAGTATAAACTATCTGTTGATATCTGGGGCTTATATTTCTAAAAAGTTAAGAATTCTAAAAGAAGAAAACTGTTTACTTAGATGGGTTGCTTTTGAACAAAGCTCTAATAGAAAAACTGTGTTTCTGCTATAATTATAAGATCAGTTAAGAGAATCTTTATTTATATAGCCAATAGCAATTTATAATATGTAATGTAGGTTTAGCCAACTAAAATTTCTGTAAATTGTTGCTAATTAATAAAATAAATGTAGGATCACTGAAATAAAAAAAAAACAGTAAAAATTACAGAATATTTTATTAAATTCTCAACTACCTTTGCATTATTACCAAAAATTTTACTGTTATAAAAATCTATATAACTTTTCTAATAGTAAATCTTATTTTAATATCATATTATTTAAGAAAAAAGATTAAAACAAAAAAAACTTAATCTGTTCTAGGAGTATATATGGTTTATTCTATCTTTAAAAAATAAAAAATATAGACAATTTATTTTAATTTTTTTTCTTTAATTTTTTATTTTAATTATCATTTGTATTAATAATTTATATACTAATATTTTTTTATTCTTTTTAATTTTGGTATTTTTAGTATTCTTTTTAAAATTCGTTACTAGACTTGAAACTAAAATTTAGTAAATAATATTTTGTATAGTCTTGATTATTTGTTTTAAGTAAAATAATATTTTTTTGCATAAGTTCTTTTTCATTGATTCAGAAATCTAGAACTAGAAATATAGTAAATACTTTTTATATAATTTTCTTTTTTTCTTTAAATAAAACTAACACTTATTGCACAAATCTTGTTTTATTAAATCTTAATTTATTAGGTTTTACTTTATTAAGTTTCTATGAATTTTTTGGTTTGATTATAGGAAGGCTTGACTATACCTAGTAATAATAATAACTTACTACCATGTAGAAACCATTTTATATTGAATTATTTATATACAAACAGAAAATTAAATATATCCAAGTATTTTTTACTATTTTTACTATAAAGTCACCAACACAAAGCAATACACTTAAGTATTAATTTTATTTTTCAAATGCGTAAATATCTAAAAGAAAAAAATTGACATATATATATAGTAATAGATGTAACAATGATTATAATTTATTCTTGCATCCAATCATCATCATCCTTAGAATCTTTGGCCTCTTCACTATCTTCACAGTACAATAATTTAAGGGCTTTAACATATTTCGGCAATTTATATAATTCACCAATACTCACTTGCATAAAATCAAAACTAATTCCAACTTTACCGTGATCATCTGTGAATACCGGTACTTTTGGGTACCTTTGACTAAAATGAGTCAATAATATTGAATGAGCATTCATTCTACAAAATGATAATGATGCAAGTTGGCAAAAGTTTAGTAATGAATCATGCTTAAATATTAAGAAAAGAAAATCCAAATACCGCTCTCCAATTTTTACAGCTTCTTCAGTTGTACTATGTTTTTTATTCAACGCTTCCTCAAGCAAGTCATTCTCAAATGTTGCCTCATGAAGCAAAAGTGTTGCATTTTTTCCTACATTCACAAGATTGTCACATGGGCGCGTATCGCCAGAATATCTTAAAAATGCATAAAGTGATAGTAAATTACCGATTAAAATTTTTTTTAATTTACAGGATAAAGTCAATTATAACACTTACACAATTTTCCAACCATCTAAATGTTCAATGCTTATTCCATAAGCAAATGGACAATGAATAACTTCTATAGCCTCGATGCGTTTGAGATTTATGGATTCTTTTAACGATTTTATACTATGAATAGTTACCAATATTCGTTAAATAGATATCATTAATATCTAACAAATAGATGTCAAATAAAACATGAATACCTGCTTGAAATTTTTGTAGGCGATCCATTTTGTTTCTGTAAAGACAAAATATCGCGATTATCTATGAACTTTGTTCTGGATAATCCAAAGTCCTGAACATCACTAAATTCGCTAAGCCATTTCCATAACTTTGGTGGACCAACAATGTGGATGAAAGCATTTAAGTCTTTTTGCAACTAATCTTGCCAGAATTGATACATGATTTATTAATTTATATGACAAATAGATATGAAGTTCAGAAAATTTATGTAATACCTCATTCCATTGGGATAAAATTCCAACTATGCCCAAGTGATGATCCGCATGCATATGTGATATAAAAATGCATTTCAAATTATTAAAGAACTCTTCTATACTAATTTGTCCTTCACGAGTTTTACCAAATGGGCCCAAATGCCTGAATAACGATCCGAGTGTACCCTCTCCAACATCGAGCAGAATACAACCATCGTTTGGTATAGTAAGAAGTGTTGAGCTCACTAAATATTAAGAATGGTCAAACACTTGTTATATCAAAAGTAAATAATATAAAAAAATAATTACCATTTCTGTATTTGGAAGGTAGAGTTGATCCGGTACCAAGAGTTGTAACAATAACATTATTCCCAGGAATATTCGTTGCTTTAGGGGATGCCTTTGCAACTTCTTCTTGTACTTGTGTTGCAATTTTAAGAGATTCGATATTATGATTTAATTCTTTCACTACTCGTG